CGTCAGCAAAAGCCGCCGCCATATTTTGACCCTTAACCGTCGCCGCCTCCCGCCTAACCGTCCGCCAGGTATTGCAGCACCGGAGATGTCGTCGATCAATCAGACTGATGAAATAGAGGACATTATGGCTTGCGTAACGGCTTTGGAAGCTGCTCTGTTGCCATGTTTACCCGCTGGAGAGCTTCAAGTCATCGACGGCTCTTGTCATCCTTTATAGAGATCTGATGATTTGTGGATTGGTAAACGCAAATTGCGTATACTCTGATGACTTTTCTACATTCATTGACAGGCTATATATAGAGATATTGGTAAGCAAGCATAAAATCTCCGAAATATCAACTATATTAAGTAATACAAATGATTTACTATTTAGATAAGGAATATGCTACTAATAAGGAGTGTTAGTGTAGTAATTATTTATTATATCCTTTATTTTCTCGATCTCTATAGCTAGCAAATGGAGAAAATCTTGATTGAATTTAGATTACATGTATTTTGATTAGAATTAAAATAAAAGATTTAGTATTTAGATAAGGAATATGCTACTAAGAAAGAATGTTAGTGTACTTATTAGTTTCTATGCCCAATATTTTCAAGATCACGTTCGCTATTAGGAATATTTTTGAGGGAGTTCAGTTGGGATTCACAACTAATAATCGAGATTTACAAACTAATTAATGTCGATTTTGATTTAATGTTGTAAGAGGAAATTTCGGAAATATCCGAAATTGAAACCGGGTCACTCGTTTTTTAAAAAAAACCCACCCAACCAATGGCATTCTTTGTAAATACATTCCAACTCCAGGATTTATTTGCTAAAAGTCATCCAAAAATGTATATATAGATGTTTAATAAAAACATGTTGTTCAAAGCTATATCAACATAAAATATTATGTATCATGCTAATCAATTAGCTAAACTCTTTATCTTGATATTTCTTTTGTTACCGTATAAATGTGAAGAAGGGTATTTTTGGCATTAGTTTGAGTCAGATGAAAGAGAACTAATTAGTTAGTTTTCAATGCCAGATCTTGCATTATCTTTTCGTATGTGGTTTAATATATTGTTGACCCTTAATATTAAATAAGTGGATATAATTTAGCTAATTTTGAATAGTAAATTGTCTATATGACAAATTACTTCTCAGAATGTCTAATTCACACATATAGAAGCCTCACCAACTAACTTGCTAATTAATCATATATGCATACATTTTAAATAATTAAATTTATATTATACTACAATTTTGTGTTAATTTCAGTTTTCTTATTAATTTTTTTTTCCAATTTCTTACCCTTATATATTGAGCAAAAAGATATATAATATATATAAAAGGAAGGCAATCCGTAATTTAAATTTTATTATATCCTACATTTTATGCTAATTATTTCATTGTACTTTTTATACATATAAAATGAACAAAAATATTGCTCACCAAAAAAAAAAGAACAAAAATATTCATTTACCACAGTGCCTCATCATCAATTTATAAAGATATTTTTAATAACTTAAAATTTAGGTTTCATCCTGAGCAATTGTTTTATTGTATGTTACTTTTTTGATAAATAAATCATTTTCAATTTATTAGACTCAGATATCAAGCCAAAAAATAGATCATATTATATCAGAGGAAATAAACATTGTCCATTTAGACTGCCACACCATTTACATATTATTAGAAATGTAATTAATTATTTGATTTAATCCCACAATTTTGTGCTAATTTATTGGATTGCATGTATGTTAGTTTTTATTTATTTATTTATCACAAATCTAATCAAATTAATTGTTGTTATATATATACATATGTGTGTGTGTGTATGTGTGTGTGTGTGGTTAGCCATTTTGCATCTCTGGACGAATAAAGTATTCAAATCATGGCAGATTTAGATATACATCAGCAGATAGATCTTCGGGCTGTTAGTCACGGAGAAAATTTTGGGAATAAAAGGTGAGGTTTTCTATTATCCTCTGCCTTTTTTTTGTTGTTGCAAACTTTGTTAGAGATGTGAGAAATCAAAATAGTTTCCTTTCGTTTCTCATCTTGTTAAGTTTTATAGGTTTTTTAATAAAAAAGCAAATTGGCAACAACAAAATTTGTCGATGTCTCTTCTTGTATATTGTTTGAACTTTTTTTTGAACTTAGTTGGTCCTACATAGCATATGACCCACCTAAGTATATGCCGTAGTATGACCCTTTCATATTGTTTATGTTAACTTTTTCTTTTTCATTTTCAATTATCGACGTATGGGCAAAAAAAAAAGTTTGTTTCCCATGCTAAAAGTTATTTTACCATTTTTTAAAAGGTAAGGGTTTAAAACCTACAAAAAAAATTAAGGGTTTTTTACATGCTTTTGAAAAAGCTCAGGTTTTTTTTTTCACCCATTTTTCTCATTTTTTTTTCCAAAATTAACTTATGACCAAAATCCTGTGCATGCTAGTTTTTTTTTGTTTTTTAGTATTCCGTGGATCTTTCACTCTTTTCATTAGGATTAGGAAAACAAAACTTAACAGAAACGTTTGTTATAGAATTCTAGGGCCCAAAAAAATAAAAAGCCATTAGAAACAACGAGAAAAGCTAACTGTAATTGGATCACAACTTAGCAACTTCAGAGATGAGCAAACCATTTGGAGAGGAGACCTTTCCCTTGTTTGCAATACCTGTTAGCAAGAAGAATGTCCTTGATCCCCCTGTCAATTTGGCGGAACTGTGTTTCAGGAGAAGAATGGGTCAATCCATGAATGCGAAGATTTCTTTCTTTCCACAGAATATAAAAGGTGGCATGGGCGACCAGTTTCTTCAAAGTAGCGGAAAGATCTTTAGAGTGACCTAGTAGCCCGCTTATCATAATCTGCCAAGATCCAAAAGTAAACTGATGAAGGCCTAGACGACTAAGA